GGCGGGGCAGGCCCCCCGACGCCAGCCTGCCCTCCGCGCGGAAAGCGTGGACTCGGAAGCCGTTGAACTTACCGCCCGCAGAGCCCGCGACTGCCGATCCCCGCGCCGCCGCGGCGCAGGGCGGGCCTCGGCGCAGGTGGCGCGTCTTGGCACCGCCGCCTGCTGCAGCTCGATCTCGGCGGCAACTCCGGCTGCCTTCGCGAGCCTCTCGCCCTGGCCGGGCGCCCGACGGCCCCCACCTTTGCCGCCCCCGCCGAGGCCCCGCAGCGCTGCGCGCCACTGCGGGCCCAGCGCCTCCAAGCTCTGCCCCGGCACCTTGGCCGGACATGCCCGTGGCCAACCAGCCCGTCTTGCCCCGGTCGATATCGAGGCGCCTTGCCTGCCGGCCAGCGAACGGGTCGCGGGCGGCCCGCGGCAGCTGACCCCCGACCGGGCGAGCCGCGCCCGCCGCCGCGAAGAGGCGATCGCCCACGAGGCCCTGCGCTCGCACCAGCGGGTAGCGCGGGGCAAAGCTGCGCAAGAGGGTGCACGTCAGCAGCTCGCCCACTGCGCATGAGCACCCGGCCGCCGCGGCCCCGCTGGCGCCCGCCGCGGGCCCGACCCCTTTGCCCAGGGGGGCATTCCTGGGCAGGCAGCAGCTGGAGCACAGCCCCCTCTGGAGGACCATCGAAAGTGCCTCTTCACTGCCTGCTCGAACAGCTCGTGATGTCTGATGAGCCCGCAGTACTTCGCGAGGTCGACTGCCATGGTGCCCGGGACCAGCCCCGCCTTCTTAGCGAAAGTGGTCACCATGTCGCGCGCGAAGCCAGCCTTCTCGCACGCGCGCCCTGCAGCGCCCCAGTGGGTCCCGCGCCCCCATGTTGCCGCGAACGGCCGCCGCAGCTTCGACCACGCTCTCGCCCAGATACTGGCTAGGAGGACGGGCCTGATCCCCCCTGGCGGGGGCTCGGGCAGGAACGCGACGAGCAGGAGCTAGAGCGGCCCGCGCCTCGGGTGGAGCTCCCAGCTGCGGACAATGCCCAGGAAAAGCTTGGCGGCACAGCACGGGGGGGCACCTAAGTTGGCGCGGCCGCAGCCCGTCCCAGCACAGGCCCGTCATTGATGAAACGGCAGGGCTGCTGCCCCCCAGCCCTGCGCGCCGCCTTTCGGGCCCGCGCCCGCCATTCCGCCGAGCGCCCCTGGCGGCCCCTAGCCCGCAGCGCAGGCAGCTGGCGCCGACGGCGCACGTGCAGCTCCATCCTGCCAGATGCCGCGTCGACGGCGCTGGCCCCAGGCGGCCAGCCCGCCCTCCTTCGGCAAGGCCACATCGCTGAAGCCGAAGGACCTGAGCACCCGCGCCTGCCTGTCGAGACGAGAGTGCCGCTTCCCCCCTTGCTCCTTCTGGCGGGCTCGCACGGTTGCTGCCTTCCTGCAGGCTGCCACAAGTCCAGCCCACAGCCTGTGCTCCTTGCTCGTGGTCACAGTGTTAAATCTCATTCCTGGACCGATGGCACCTCGACGACCTCGGGGTCTCCCACCAGCCCTTTGGGCGTGAGTGGTTTAGAGAGCCCGCTCTGTTCTCAACCCCCTTCTTCCCCTTCGGGGAGGGGTTTACCCCTCCCCCTACCCCCTCCCCCTGGGCCTGGAGAGGGCGCCCCGCGGGTCGTCAGAGGGGTCTTTTTCGACTCCTGGGAGGGCTAAAATTCGACACCCCTCACGAGGATTCTGGCCCCGACGGGGGGGGGGAGAAAAGTGCTCGCCCCATCTGTGATCGATCGCCCGACAGATGGCCCCAAGATTCCTCCCAGACCCCTCCCAAAGAGTCCCAAGAGGCCCCAAGAGGCCTCCAAGAGGCCCCCAAGATGCCCCCAAGAGGCCCCCAAGAGGCCCCAAGAGGCTCCCCCGAGGCACCCAAGACGCTCCTGGAAGCCCCTGGAGCCGCCAAGAGGCCCCCAAGACGCCCCAAACGGCCTCCAAGAGGCTCCCAAGAGGCCCGAAGAGGCTCCCCCAAGGCACCCAAGACGCTCCTAGAAGCCCCTGGGGCCGCCAAGAGGCCCCGAAGACGCCCCAAAAGGCCTCCAAGAGGCTCCCAAAACGACTCACACCACGACGAGGGCCCCGAACGACTCACACCACGAGGAGCCCGAACGAGTCACACCAGGAGGAGGGGCCCGAACGACTCACACGACGACGAGGGGCCCGAACAACTCACACCACGAGAAGCCCGAACGACTCACACCAGGACGAAGAGCCCGAACGACTCACATCACGAAGAGCCCGAACGATTCACACCAGGAAGAAGGGCCCGAACGACTCACACCAGGACAAGAAACCCCAAACGACTCAAACCACGAGGAGCGCTTTCTCTCCCTCCTCCTCCGCCTCGTCCTTCTCCCGCTCCCACCACAAGGAGGATGTACAAGGAGGCGGGAGGAAGGAGGAACAGGGGAGATATGCGGGGGCAGGCGGAAACACGCCTGAAAAACACGACTGTCGGCATGCTTCGCAAGAGTTGCTGTTTTGAGATGGGCTGGTGGGGATACGCGAAGCGTAAAGAATCTCATTCCTGGACCGATGGCACCTCGACGACCTGGGGGCCGTCTACCCTCTGATTCGGCTGGGGGTGCATGTCCAGCTGGCGCAGCCTATCAAGGCGCTCCTCCACCATCGCGAACCAGGACTTCGAGGCCCCTTCTAAGCCCCCCGGGCTGCCCCCGAGCTGCCACGGCCAACTGCTGCCATCTAGCTCTGGGAGCGCCTCTCCTGGGTGGGCGGCGGGGCCCTCCTGCGCAGCCCATTCAGCTCGATGGCGGTCGGCGAGCGCGGGCTGGTCAAGGCGTCGCTGGGGGCCTTCACTGTCTCGACGCGGCTGGCCAGCACCTCGGCCACAATGCCGAAGTCATACTCTCTCTTGCCACATGTGGGAAACAAGGGCCCCACAACCGCCCCTCCTGCCTGCTTTGCCCAGCTGGTGGGAAAGGTCGGGCCCGACGTTCCAATCGGCCAGGATGGCCCAGGCCACGCGAGGCTGCCCGCCCAGTTCTAGAGAATTTCCAGCGGCGCGATGTCGTTCCCCGTCATGCCGATGATGTCGATCAGGTAGGCTGAGACGACAATGACCGGGATGTCAAGCCCCGCGCTGAGCTCGGCGGCCTGCGCTCGGCGCGAGGGCAGGCTGCTGCGCCGCGTCGGCCTCTCGACCCATGCAGCTGCCACTGCCGATAGCACAGCCGCCCCGCCCGAGCTGTCGAGCGGCCCTGGCCCTGTTCCCACCGCTGGCGCGCCGAAGAGGTCGAATCCAGCCCTCCGCGCCCACTTGGCAGCCGCGCGCAGGCGCTCGCAGTGCTCGAGGCGGGCCGCCTGCATGCGCGCCTCGTCGCACACGTGCCGCGGGCCCTGCTCCACTCCAGGAAGGCTTGGCCGCTGGCCCAAGTGTCGGGGCTGACAGAGACCAGCGAGAGCTTCTCAGGTTCTTCCAGACGGCTCTCTCTCCCCAGGCCGCTCTGCGGGCGGCTGGTTCTCGGCCCCCATGGCGCCCCCCCCCACCTAGGTCCTGCGCGATCCAGCGTGGTCGTAGGAATCACTCCGTCGGATGCCTCTCTGCTCGCCCTGACCGAAGGAGTTGCGTCCGCAACCGCGCCGCCGCCACCGCCGCGGCCACCTCCATGCTGCACCGGCAGCCCCCGCCCCGCGGGGGCCCTCGAGGACGACCCTGAAGCCCGACGCGCTGATGGCGAAACCGAAGAAGACGGTCTCGGTGACCCTCTGCACTCTGCCGAAGGTCCAGACAGGCCTCGTGCTGGAGAACTGCTCGACTGCGGCCGCCACGGTGTTGGCGAGCTCCTCGTCGACCTCGATGTCGTCTGTGTCGACAAGGATGTTTGCTCCGCCGCTGCCAGCGGGCTGGCCAGGCACAGGAGGAGCACCGCAATCAGGCGCTGCAGCAGAGGCAAGGGCCCTCGCGGCCGCGGCCCGCTCCTCCTCTGCCTCCCGCTGCTTGGCGATACTGGCTGCCTCCATGGCTGCCGCGTTGAGGAGCCCTGGGTCCCCTTGAGGCAGGGAGCTTAGTAAGGCCCCCCAGCATCTGCTCGGCGAGGCCGAGGTTATCAGCTGACCACTCTGCGCCCTGGGTGGGCACTGCCGCCTCCGTGCACCTCGCCCGCTCGAGCGCGTCCAGCTCCGCGTGTTTAGCCTCGTGCTCGCGTAGCTGCCGAAGCTCCTCGTCGTGGGCTTCTTGGGCTGCCGCCAGCTCCTTGGCCCTCTCGGCCAGCCTGGCCCTGGTCCGCTCGGTCTGCTTGGCCTCGCCCACATTCCTCTGAAGGATGTGGGACAGCGGCCGCGTGACAGGGTCAACCTTCTCAGGAGGCGGCGGCGCCAGGGCCTCCTGCTGCTGTGGCGTGAGGCCCTCCTTCCCTTGCTCCGCGCACGCCTTGTTGAAAGCCCCGGCCAGCTCGGCGAGGGTCGGCTTCGGGGGCGGAGACGGAGCCTGCCCGTAGTGAACCCACCAGTCCTTGCCAGCACCCCAGGGCGGTGAGTTGACGGCCTTCGATTTGCCGCACTTGCTCTGGCATCCTCTCTTGGGTCCTTGTCCGCCTCCCGTGCCTGGGCCTTGGCGCAAAGGGGCGGTGCCACCTGCACACTGCTGGATGGCGGCTGTTATCTTGGGCGGCGCCATTGCCCCACACGAACGGCAAGCGCTGCGTGTGATGTCATTGGGGCATCCTCCACATGTCCCGAGGCACCTCCACTGGAATCCACGCTTCCCAGGCGCACCCTCTGCTGGTGCCATGGGCCAGGCGCGGTCGTTGTCGTTTCTGTCTCAGAGGCTCGCGCTGACGGGCCGCTTCGGAAGAGTCGCTAGCGCAAGCACGAACGTCCAACACGCTCGTGCCGAAACGGTTCTTGAGCCAAAATGGCGACGGATGGAGGCCAGAGGAGGAGGAGGAGGAGGAGGAGGAGGAGGAGGAGGAGGAGGAGGCTGCAGGGGGCCCCTCCCTTGCGCGGACTGGCTCCCCGCGCGCCTCTGCTCCAGGGTGGCCACGGCATGCACCTGCACGTCAACCGCCCTGACGCCCTGCTGGACTTCGCACACGGCCTCCTGCATCCACGGGAGTGACCCCGCCACGCGCGAGGGGACGGACGGTCAGGAGCTGGGGAAGAGAAGGGACCGACCCAAGAGAAAAGGCAAGTCCGCTGCCCCTCGAAGGGGGGTCCCGACGCGCACGGCCCAGGGCACTTCGCATCCGCAGAAGGAAGGGCAGCAACAGCGACACAAAAGCGACGAAAAGAAACGGATCGTACGCGAGAAGACACAGCGGCCTTGCGCCGCGGCTTACGCAGGCCGCCAGCGCGGCACACCGCGTGGAGTTGAGGGCGCTTTCGCGCGACCTTACGCGGGCAGCTTACGCGCGCGCGCGCGAATGTCAGCGCAGTCGACGCCGTTTGGCGAGGATGCAGGCTCGATCTCGCCCGCCGCCTTGAAGGGCCGGGCGGAGGGGGCCCGAAACCGTTGATTCGTCCCAGGATGAGGAGGAGGAGGAGGAGGAGGAGGAGGAGGAGGAGGAGGCAGGAGAGGGAGGAAGCAGGAGGAGGAGGAGGAGGAGAGAGGAGGAGGAGGGGGGGGGGGGGGCGAACCAACCTCCCGGGGATCGGGGTCCGCAAGCGCGGGGGCTTCACCAACCCCCGCTCCCTCAGGCTGCGATAGCTGCGTGATCTCCCGGGGGCTGGGACCAGGAGGGGGGGGGGGGCGGTGGGGGGGGGGGGGAAGGGGACTGCAGAGGGAAAGGAGGGAGGACGGGTGGGACGGGCGGGAACAGGGAAGGCGGGGGTAAGGGGGGTGGGGAGTGGAGGCGATGGACTGAGGGCGGGAAAGGTGGGGACAGAGAGGGGGAATAGGACGTTCAGGAGAAGGGAGGGGAAACGGGAGGGGGAGGAGCAGAAGGAGCGGGAGGGCGAGGTTGAGGAAGATAGGAAGCAAGACAGAGGAAAGGGTTGAGAGGCCACGCAGGGAGAGGAAGGTGAGGTAGGAAGGAGTAAATCATATGGCAGAAGCTGTCGTGGGAACAAACTCTGTGAAGCAGCAGAAAGCACAAGGCGGACAGAAAAGCGAGTGGAGGAAGAGGGATGGATGCGGAAGGAAATGAAAGGGGGGCAGGGCCAGAGGCAGACGGATGGAGGGAAATGGTAACAGATTGGAGGAAAGGGGAGGCGGGAGGAGGGAGGACGAGTGAGGGAGGGCGGGGATGGAAAGGCAGGAGGACGGAGGCGAACAGAGGGAATAAGCCTTCTTCCCATACATTGACCCCGAGAGGCCCCCAGTGCTCCGCCAAGAAGCTCCAATGCTCCCCCAGAGGGAAAGCGCACAAGGTGGCCACGAGAAGAGTTCAGTGCAGCCAGAGTGAGGTCCACGAGTCCGGAAAAAGAGCCTCTCTGTGGGCTGAGTCCTTTTGGGGCTGTTGTGGACGATCTGGGGGCCGTCTTGGGCCTTCCTGGGGCTATTAGAGGCTTCCTTGGGGATGTGGGCCGTATTGGAAGTCTTGGGCCGCCTTGGGGATCTGTTGGGGCTCCATTGGGTCCTCTTGGAGGCCTCCTATGCTCCTCATGGGGCTCTCTTGGAGGCGTCTTGGGGCTCTCTTGGGCATTCCTCGGACTGTCTTGGGCCCTGTTGGGAGCCTCATGGGCCGCGTGGGACGAGCTCGGAGGCTCCCAGAGCGGCCTTGAGTCGTTCTTGATCCGAAATGGCGGGAATCACCACATCTGTCAAAAACGGCGAGGAAATCAATGTGTTTGCCCTCTTGGGGCATGCTTGAGGGCCATCTTCGTGCGCATGTTTTGAATCTTGGAGCTTCGTTTGGGCCTGCCTGACGCCATAGTGGCCGGCTTCGAGCGCTCTTGAGCAGTTTCGGGGGCTTCTTCGCCCGTCGTGGAGGACTCTTGGGCCATCTTGACAACCTCCCTGGGCCGTCTTAGTGGTCCATAAACATGGCCCCATCGATGTCCCCGTGGTGGCCGGGGGCCCAAAGAAGTGGGGGCGGTATGTGTCTACATTCTATTTTTGCCACAGCTCAACTGATTTGAACTCCACTGCCGTCATGTGACTTTAGGAAATTGGCTATGGAGAACTGATCTCCACTTGTTCACGCGCCACACAGACACGAAACAATAGAGTCCCACCAATGCGGCGACCGCTTACTCTGGGAATTCACAGACGGCACGGCCAGGTTGCTTTGAACTTCACTGGTATCTTTGGACTTGAGGAAATTGACAATGGAGGGGGACTCCCTCCGAGTCCGATAGCGCTCTTGTACAAGCCTAGCTAAGATTTATAAGATTCCTACCAACGTGCGACCGCTCGTTCTGCGGATTACACGACGGCTCGAGCAGACCCAGAATCGCATGGGCCAGCACACAATACTGGCCTGCCTTTCGCTTAGCCTGCTGGCCATCTGAAGATAAGCGCGGCTGGTCCGGAAAAAAAGCCGGATGAGGGGCGCCGAGTACGAGCAGCAATGTGGTGATTGCGCCAGGGCCCTTCGCGATAGTGGGCTATTCACGAAGAGCCCTGCTGAGCTTTGCCTCTGTGGGCTCTCGCTCGGCGCGGCATCCAGCCGGAAGAGCAAGTTCCACAGGATCCCCGCATCCCGATCAGGGGTCGGGGCGCATGTTCCGGCGGCCCAAGCCGCACTCCCGAGATATGCATATGGATATTGTCTTGTATATCCATGTGTATATATTAACAGATATATCCCCAACAGCGCTTGCACTTAGAGGTTCTTACTTCTGACCTGCGGAAATGGACCGTGTCTTCGGTTTGGCGGCCATGTGGCCGCCGTCGCCGCCCTGTCGCCGCCTCGTCGCCGCCCGTCGTCTTGGCCCTGTTTTCGGTCCGGCGGTTATGTGGCCGCCGTCGCCGCCCCGTCGCCGCCTCATCGCCGCTCATTTTCTAGGCCGTGCCTTCGGTCTGGCGGCTATGTGGCCGCCTCGCCGCCCCGTTTCCGCTTCGTCGCCGCCCGACAACTGGAGCTGTGCGTCGGTCTGGCGGCTATGTTGTTGCCCTCGCCGCCCCGTCGCCGCCTCGTCGTCACCCCGCATATATTCTCCTTTCTACAAAGAAAATGTTACCCCCCCCTCCCGGAAATATCGGCTCCCCGGGCACCTATGCAAAGCACATATGATACTGACAGCATGTCCATCCTACCCTTGAATCAATACAACCCGAGCCAAACCAGTATCGCCCCCCCCCCCCCCGTGGTTCCCTTGCAAAATTACTATGCGCGCACAGACGTTCATCAATTATCCCAGTGCGACCCTACCTAAGAGTTGGAGCCTTTTAGGAAAGCAACATCTACATTTACACCGACAGCTACATCTACATCAACATCTACAGCGAAACGAACCTCTACATCTACATGATATGCTGTGCTATGCTATGCTATGGTATGATGTGCTGCGCTATGATATGATATGATAGGCTATGCTGTGGTATGATATACTGCGCTATGCTATGATATGACATGATATGCTATCATATGATATGGTGCACGATGCTATGTGTTGATATGATATGATATGCTGCGCTATGATATGATATGATATGTTATGAAATGCTGTGATATGTTATGCTATGTTATGGCATGATACGATATGGTATGCCATGATATGATCTGATATGATATGATATGTTGCGTTGTGCCATGCTAAACTAAGAGATGCGATGCGATGTTAGTGTGTGCTACGCTGCGCTATGATATGCTATGCGATGCTGCAATATGAACTGCGATGATATGCTATGCTGCGCTATGCTCTACTGCGCTATGTTATGGTATGTTATGCGATGCTGTGCTATGCGATGCTCTGCTATACTAATGCTGCGCTGCGCTAAGCTAATCTAAGCGGGGCTAAGTTAAGCTAAGGTAAGCTAAGCTCAGCTAGGCTAGGCTAAGCTAAGCCAAGCTAAGCTAAGCTACGCTAAGCTAAGCTAAGCGAAGCTAGGCTAGGATTGGCTAAGCTAAGCTAAGCTAAGCTAAGCTAAGCTAAGCTAGGCTAAGCTAAGATGAGATAAGCAACGCTAAGATAAGGGAGCGTCACTGGGGGAACCGCGGGGCGGATACTGGGGGAACCGCCCGGGGCGAGTTGCACTGCCCGGCCTTTAAGCATACCGAATAAGAACCCTTCTAGGCAGAGCCTAGGTTGGGACAAATCATTAACTTCTGTTTTGACAAACCCTGCAACCAATGGGACGAAGTGCGCACGCGCGCGTCGTCGCGCGCATGCCGACATCCTTACAAAAACGTTCGGCTCCGGAAAGAAGTCGAAATCAAAAAAAATCGCAACACGGATTTCAACAAAAGCGTGCGCGCGCACTCTTGCGAATTCTTAAGGAAACCATAAGTTTTCCAACATGTTCACGAAGTACTACCAAACGGGCTTCGCGCGCGCGCGTGTCGAAATCGTTCGGACGCCATTGCGCGCGCGCTGGGGTGGCACGATCCGTTTCAAAAAATACCATGCGAGCCACTCTCGCGCGTCTGCCGCGCGCGCATTTCGAATTCTTGCCAAAACTTTCATCACCGACGCGAAGACGCCGTCATCGTCGTCGGCGTGATCGGCATCGGCGCCGTCACTGGCTGCCCCGTCGTCGCTCTCAGCATCGCCACCAGCATCGCTACGATCATCGTTGTATTTACCGTTATCGACGTTGCCATGATACCGCGACCACCCAAGTAGCCGACTCGCACGGAAGTGGCCGCTGGGATGTGCCGAGCGGTCAGCGCTGCCGCGTTCGCGTCGGTCGAGCCAAACCAGCTGGCCGCTGCGCGCGCGAGCATGCGCGGGCTAACACGGCCGCAGAAATACACCAGCCAACACCCAACACTCATCGCAATCGCTCCCGCATGGGTTCTGCAAACCAAGTTGCGGGTGGGTGGGTGGGATGATTGCGCGAGCAGTGGAGTTGACAACTTCAAGGTCGGCAAGTGAATTCTCCTTTCTACAAAAGAAATAGGTTCTAGCACCCTCCCCCCCCCCCGGGGTTAAAGATCCCCCGAGAACCGATGCAACACTTCAAAGATTCGAACCCAATGTCCATCCTACCAGTGAATTCA